TTTACAGAGAAATCAGTCTAAAAGTTCTTGCTGAATCCAGTTGCAACAGAACAAGGAACATTTTAGTGAACTTCAGCACAGCTGTAGAGTTTGCTGGATAGCATTATCTGTGTAACTGCTGACGGGCTGCCTGCAGCTGAACTTTAAATTCTTAGTATAAAATGTCTTTTTTTTTTTTCTCTCCGCAGTTTCTTAATCCTTATGACCGCAGCCACCGCCGAGAAAGCCACTTTTAACCAAAGATGAGATGACTTACTTTTGGCCACCCACAAGATGCAATGAAATTATTTCTCAGCAGATTCCTTTTGATATAAGATTCTGTTTAATTTCACTGAGCCCAAAAGCTCTCGATAAGGCTGAGTGTTGTTGATTGCTGGGTAGTAGAAGCCAGACGCCCATAATTGTGTCAAGTTGATAAAGAAGAGATAAAATGCGCTATTCCAATAGACTTCTCAAGGACCAGGCGGAAAGGCTTTTAAAACGCCACACTGGCTCGAAGTAACAAAAAAAAAGTCAAGGAAAAATAGCCAATCTTAAAGAAGAAATGTGTTCGAGGCACATAATTGCAAGAGAAGCTTCTATCTCTCCCAGTTTTAAGCACCTAAATATCTCCAAAGAACAACTTTCTAAGTAGCATTTACATTTGTACTGAGCACAAAACATAAAGTCAGTGCCGGCAGTGCAACCCTTTCTGTGGAGGCAGTTCAGGCTGCCCATACAGGGGGCAATTTTCTAAAAATTTCAGCTGACTTTGGACCAAACGGATCAATCTAACCTACCACTGCCCCTGCCATATAAATATATGAACTGTTGGTGGTAGGTTGCCTTAATATGTTTGTTTTTGAGATTGTAAACAGTGAATTTAGGAATTTAGGAAATGCTGATACATAAATCAGCATTAAAGAATAGCTATGCCTTTTAAAAATGATCACAAGCTATACCCAAATTATAAGTGTCCTTATTTTAAAAGGTAAAGTTCGATATCCTACTGGTAGTATCTGACCCACTGACAAGTATCCCCAAAATTCTTAATCATATCAGCCTTTTTGGCTCCTTTTCCGGCCTTAAAATTAACATTAATAAGAGTGAACTCCTGCCGTTAACACCGGATAGGACCTACGTTGATGCCCTTTCCCGCACACACCCCTCATTACAGATGCAAAAGCAGTCCATTATCTACCTGGGGATCTCCATTCCCCGCTCTGCTAAAGATCTTTACTCACTCAATTATAAGCCTATCATCACTAACATTGTCCAAGAATTGCGCACGTGGCGTGACTACCCCGTCTCCCTACTGGGTAGATGTCATCTCATAAAAATGATAAGCTTCGCAAGATTGCTCTACCCGATTCAAACGATACCCCTTCTTTTAAAACATAACGATATCCAACTCCTCCATAGTGCATTCTCGACCTTTCTCTGGAAAGGGAAGAAGTCGAGAATAGCCTTGAAGAAACTCCAACAACCGGTAGAGAGCTTAGGAGCCAACCTTCCTAACATTAGGGTCTATAATTTAGCCAGTCTCTTCCGGCATGTGCGAGACTGGCTACATGATACTTCCTTCTTCACAAATACCTCCCTAGAGAGCCAGCTGACGTCACCGTGGTCACTTCCTGGCGTCTTGAGCACCCCATTGAGGCTCCTTCCCACACATATAAAAGATAACATACTCCTCAGAGACACCATCTTAGCTTGGAGAGAAGTCAGAAAGCTCCTACGTCTCCCCACGGTTCTCTCTCCTTGTATGCCCCTCACCTCCTCCCCGATTTTCTCAGCGGGTAGGGAGTCCTATGCTTTTCGAACATGGTCTGCTAAGGGTATATCTACCCTCGGGGATCTGTTTGACCCTGGGGGACTCTTCAAGACATTCCGTGCCCTTCAACTTCAATTTAATCTCCCCGCTACCCACATTTTCCCATATTTACAGTTACGCCACTTCGTCTCCTATCACCTTAACTCCCCGTGGCGAGAATTAATCTATTCACCTATTGCGCATCTACTCTCGTCTCCCCGGGTCAAAATGCCCCTATCTCATCTGGCCAAATGTATCGCTACCTCGGTACTTGATTTCTCCATCTGTACGCCATCCTACATTAAACGTTGGGCTGATTTCCTGCACATGACTGAAACGTCCCAGATAGTAGAACAAGGATGGGGACAAGTTCGGAAAGCTATTATAAATGAATCCTGGAGGGAAATATACTTTAAAATAGTACACAGAGCCTACCACGCGTTTAATATACCCCCCAAAATTAATAATGCCTCTACCACCTGGCTGACGGCCTGTCCAAAATGCCATCACCCCCTGCCTGAACTGACACACTTATTTTGGTCATGCCCCCATGTACAGACTTTCTGGTCTGCCACAATTTCCTTTATGAATGTCCATTCAGGTAAAGCGAGATCGCTATCCCCAGCCTTCTGCTTACTACATTCCCTTCGCGTTGGGAGCATCTGTGCCTTCTCACAGCTAAAAAGTCCATCTTATGCAACTGGATAATGTCAGACCCCCCATCCATAGAGAATTTCCGCTCCCTATTATATCGCCTCATGTTGCTAGACAAATTAGACACTAAGTTTAATCAAATGCGTACCAACAGATTCTTTGCCACCTGGGCATCTTTTGTTGCGGCTGAATTATCCTTAGAGCAGCTACAAGACTTGATGTCCATTTTCCGATTATCTAAATGGTATCCTGAGGCGAAACTAACGAACTCCATGGGCCCTTTAGATGTCCTATAGTACACGGTTCCTTCTATTTGACTTGATCTGTTCATCCACACAACCCCCCTTTATCTCCCAGGAGGTTTTGAACATATTAACCCCGATCTTTACCGCGAATACCTATATTGTGTTGAGGTTGTTCACCACCCAGATTTTGATTCCCCCGGCTCCCTTATTAAGGAAGTAATATGGCTATGGCACGTTTTCTATACTATGTTGCTATGATTTATCCTGTATTCCAGTTAAAGTGCTCTGAACTGTTATTGCTACAGGTGCAGTCTGCGTACTGGTGCCTGATTCATGTTATCTGCCGATGATTGCACTTATTTGTATTGTATTATCTGATACTTAATAAAAATTGACATGCTAAAAAAAAAAGGTAAAGTTGCCCTTTAAAAAATTAGGTCCTCCATGTGGCCATGCCTTCTCTTCAACATGCTACACCTGAGCAGGTGGGATCAGGAATAAAGCCCATTAACCATTTGGCACTCTGCTTCATGTGCTGTATGTGCCATTCATGACAAATCAGTGTCAGGTGCAGGCACAAACACAACAAGGCTCCAACAGAATGTCAGAGAGAGCCTGCCACTATCAAAAAACATTGCGTAGTTATCTTTATACTGAGAGCAGGAGCTGCATGCTTTCTAGAAGTACATTTACTGTTAGACAAAAAGCTTTCTGTGAACCTCCTTATCCCGGTTATAAACTGTACTAAAGCTTTTCTCTTGTTTTAGATTTCTGCCATATCCCCTTGCCATTCCATAAACAAATGAAAGCACCATTATTGGGCAGTAAAGTCTGCTGTCATTGGTCTGTGGGATGGCGAAGGGGGATTGGTTGAGTACTTGGTCATAATAAAGTAAAGGCATCTGTACAGCCTGGGTTTGAGATCTTGGGGGACCACAGTACATCAATGAAGACTTTATCTAGTAATAAAAGTACTAACAGGCACCCTGTGCTTATTCTTAGTCTGTCGTGTTAGCCAAAACCAGTTCATAATGACCACAGACAAAGCATAGCTCCCGTTAGCTCCCAGTAATCTTAAAGTGACACTAAAGTCAGGAGTGAAATCCTAAAATTGCATTCAAGTACCCTAACTATTAACGGAAATGCATCTTATTTGTGCATCACTCAGCTGTAGATCCTCAAATCATCTCTGAATTCATGGTGACACTGTCCTTTCTTCTGGAGGGCGGCTACTTTTGTTCCCCATGGTCCCTGTGTGTTGTAAAGTAGCCACCACTCCAACAAGCTCATTCCCGTGATGGACAATAACTTAAATACAAATTATTAAACTAAACATGAGATTGTAGTCCATCACGGAAGCGAGCTTGGAGCGGTGACTACTTTACAACACACACAGGGATCATGGGGAACAAAAGTAGCCCCCTCCAGAAGGAAGGACAGTGTCAGCATGAATTCAGAGAAGATTTGATGATCTACAGTCAGTTGATAGACAAATAAGATTTTACTTTTAATAGTTAAGGTACTTGAATGCATTTTTAAGAATTAACTCCTGAGTTTAGTATCACTCTAGGATGAGCAAACACAACAAATTATACACTCACAAACGAAGTCAACATTGTCAATTGATTATATTAAGAAATCTAAACATCTTTGCCATATGAAGCTTTAACAAATGGTTTAGGAAGGTCTACTGTAAGGGCTTTCTCCACATCCCCAAGACCTTGTTATTCTCTATTTAATAAAGTAAATCTTTCCTAAGATGACCCTCACTGACCCTCTAAAATGCTAGCTGCTTGACTGAGAGGCTTGGTAGCGTCAATGCTGTCAGGAGTCATAAACATGGGAGAAATATACAGATCAGGAAAGTCAGAGAAAAGTCAGACGTCCTTATCTGCATACTTGTGTTGGGTTAGTGATTAAAGAAGAAAGTCAGCCAAGCAAGTAGCATTTGCACCATGAGAAGTCAGCAATGACTTCTCTCTACATTTCTCTCAGGAAATCCCTTTAACTTGACTCAGCTATTGGCTGCCACTGGCTTCTAAACTGGACTGACCCTTTTCTCGAATTCTGTTGGTCAACTTTTATTTTAGAATTCATCCTTGCTCTTTTGTCAGTGCCCTTACTGAGCCAAAGTCTTGAATGCAGACGGTCATTTATTACCGAACGCATGGCTTACCTTAATGCATTTTTTATGCAGTCTACACTGGTCGCATTATGGGAGGTATACACATAAGGCTTAACAAGGGCAAAACACACATTGTAAACAGTTCATTTTAAAGATGATAATAATTTATATCCTGGGTACTTACTATGATCATCCGGCACACATGTCCTCTGCAGAGCTCCGAGTATGAAGAATAGTGCATGTAGACCACCCAACTGCCCACAAAAATGCCCAACCATGCCAGGAAAAGGTATTTTACCTTGATGCCAGGGAGGCGAGACTGTAAAGAGAGAAGGTCAGAGTGAAAACAGAACATATATTATAGGCCGAGAAATATGCTGCTTCTTTAAAAAAGAAAATAATACTGTAGCAATAATAACAAGAATAATATCAGATCTCTCGGCCCATAGAAGAGCAAAACAGCAAGTTAAACACTTGCTGCTATATGGTATATTTGCGAAAAATATTTTAAAAACATGCATTGATAAAGCTGCAGGACCTTCAGCAACTCATCAGATATTAAAACATTTAAATTGGGTGGCTATGAGGGAAGCAATATATTCCTACGCTTAAGAAATAGATAATCCGCGCTTCTGGAAAGGAGACTAAAGTGGAAATGTATAATAAATTAAGACCTAAAGCCGCTCTAGAAAGAGGATAGAGGAATCCTATCAACAATCGAGAAAATATGTAAGACACATCACTTGTTTTAGAGCTAGACCGCCTAAACCTAAAATTTCACTTTATCACTTGGTTACATTAAGTCTTTTATTAGTTACACCTTTAGCGCTTTGATATATATTCCTACGCTTAGCTGACTTCCTCTATAGTAGTCCCGTAGAGGAATAAAGGCAATTCTCACTTGTAGACCTCCTCTGGCCTAAAATAGAAGTTAACACAGAATAATGCCAGCAGAGCAATGATACAACAATGTTGAAATATCCAATTTCTGTATTGGAACTTTTACATAATTTTATTAGTGGCCCTTTTCACCTTAAATCAATGTTTTCTTTTTTCTTTGTTTACCTGCTTTGAACTCTGGAAAGAATAGGAGAGTTTTTTGATTCACATACTGGTAAGCCAACCACCATGGTGGCAGGGCCAGGGCGGCTGGGCTGAGCTGGGAGTGTAAATATCATGCTGGGATGAAAATAGCCATCAATTTGCGCTCACAGATCGGAGTCTGAAGGTCACTAGTCACAGAAGATATGTGACACGCTGCGAGTGACGCATAACTACAGCATGCCAGTTAAAAATCTCACAAAAGGAAGAATATCATGCTGGCCAGTTCAGCAAAGAAAGGCGGAGAGCGATGGAGATGGGTAAGGCTCCGTAACCCACAGCATCCACAAAGAAAACACCTGTGTGATTAGGTTCTAGAGGAGGCAGCCATTCCTGACTCATGTGCCGCATGAGTTCTGTGGCAGTGATATTACCCCTGTGGCAGTGATATTACCCCTTTAATTGAGGGATTCCACAATATTGAACTCTGGTTGATCGTTTTCGCTTTCTGTACCATGCCCTTCAAGATTTCTGTTTGTTTATAGAATAGAGTTGATGGGGCAGCTCCAACCAAATTAGATTTCTCTATTTTAGGTGCAGCGGGACAGGTCAGGATCTTTCCGTTGGGACTTTCTAGGACTATGTAGGATCCTGGTGGGCCAATCTTTACTCCAACCCAGTCAGTATTCAGTTTTTTGTAGCAGGAACCCAGCACTGGTAATTATCTGACTGGGGCTTTCCTAGAAGGACAACACAGGTAGGGAAGGGAAAACCTGTAATTTTTTAACAAAAATAATACAATTCTGTTTTACTTATAGTGAGCTACAAAACTAAGTATTCTTTTGAAGTTTACTTCAACTTTAATCTTCCTAACTCTTATAGTCTGACCTTAGCACTTCTGTCAGCGAAAAAGAAAAAAAAAAAAGAACCCCTTTACCTTGACCCGTAACCCTCCAACACAGTGGAGGGACTTTTTTAAATTCCTTTATTCAGCATGAGATAACAAATTAAACATACAGTCCCAAATTACAAGCTTCTGAGAAAACAACAGTGTAGCATAACATAAATTCCATTTGCATCAAAGTTTGTTGACATGTTGAAGGCACAAAATATACAATTTCTCTAACATACAACATCGATAGGACATTTAAACAAAAGGCAGAGTTACCCTTAAAACAATTACACATAGCAAAAGAATACAGAAGACCCCACTACTTCTGCACATCTTGGAGAGGCAACCAAGTGGGTTCACAGGAGGTTGGGGAGTAAACCAAAGCAGGAAGTCCAAGATAGAGCCAAAAACATGAAAAGCAGCAAGAAAAAGTACAGATGGGCGAGAAAAACAGACACAGATGAGAAGGTATGGAGAAAAGTGTAGAGTAGAGAGAGAGAAAGAAAAAACAAGAGGGTCCCAGCATCCCCAGTTAGTTGGACCCAAAAGCAGCCCAAAGGGAGAATTCACCTGCGGCCTGCACCCTCAAATTGAATTACAGCCTACATAGACTCAGGGCTCAGAGGCTGTGTCAGGGAGCATTGGCCTCAACTATTGTTCCCCTGCAATATAGCCAATGCCTCCATGTAGACTTGAACTGCTCCTCTATATTATGCGATGAGGAGGTCAAGTCCTCTATTTGGTAGATCTCATTCACTTTGGAAAACCACATTCCTAAGAATGGTGCATGAGGTACACTGAACCACACCAGTGGGGCGTGGTTCAGTGTATCTGAAACCCAAATTTTTTAAAACTTTGAATGGAGAAGGGAAGAGTTAGAATGTCTGCCAGGTTTTTATTGGTTCTTCCCCCTTCTCTCTCCCCTTCACTTTCTAATGCTTTAAAGACATAATTTACAGGTCTGTGTTTCTCCTCCTACATGACAGCACCTGAGTCTCCTCCATACCTCTGGGGAGCCATTGCCTCCTCCTTCTCTATCCCCACACCTTTTCACATTTGAAGTAGTATTAAACTCTCAAACTTATTTTCAATATTGAATCCAGATCAAATAAATAATAAATTGCTGAGGAAGGTGTTTCTTTACATTTTTGCTGAAGCACTTAAATCATCATGTTCCAAACAGCTCCAAATCTGTCAGCTTGACTTCCCTGATCTTCCTGTCCACAAGGGACAAAGCAATCTCCAGCAGCTGTCCATCTACTAGCTTAGAGAAGGGGAGAAGGGAGGACCAGGGAGAAGTGGAGTGAATTGCCTTGCTGTTCCTGTCTATTTGTGGAGACACACACAGCTTACTAGCACACACAAGGGTGGCTCCACAGGACCCTGCAAGTGAAAGGAGCCATCCTAAAACAGGACCTCAGGGTCATTGCTCAGGTGACCAGATGATTCTGCAGGAAGCTAAAACTTTTAAACATCAAGGAGCAGCATCCATTGTAAGTGATTTCATCTGCATTTGAAATAACTTAAAAACCCTTTGACTATAATATCACTTTTAAATAGCCACAAGCAGCCTGTACATGTTCTGCTGCCGACAATTCCAGCCCTTTTATCAAATCCTATAGAGGTTAAAAAAAAAAACACCTTTTTCAGCTTGTTGCTCTGTCAGTTTATTACAGTTTATACATTAACTTTTAATTTACATAACACTAAGCAATTTCTGACAGATGTTTATTATTTAAATACAAAGCCATTTGGTTATAGTATCTTGAGTCCAATCAAAACCTTATCACATCCTACGGTAAGCTCATGCTCTTTATTTCAATTACCTCTGGAAATGCCGTTTTTTCCTTCCTGAATCAGTGTAGCATTTATTTTTACACGCTCTATTCTATTATCTATGCACTTGTTCCAGCAATGATGTATTTGAAGTGGTAATATTTCTGATACATAATGAGAGTTACAGAGTCTTGTTCTGTTACAATATTGTGATACGTAATGATAGTTACAGAGTCTTGTTCTGTTACAATATTGTGATACGTAATGATAGTTACAAAAGTCTTGTTTTGTTACATGTACACATGAAGCTCTGGTCTGTTTTATGAGGAGCATCAACGCAAGGCATTAATGTGTTTATATGCAACATCTTTAAATGTATTTTTCTCTCATTTCATTACTTATGCATATGTTTTAGTCATTAGCAATGTTATAACAGCTTTTTTAAGACTGGCATTAAGGCCCCATTCACACTGCGCGATTCACAAATCGCGCGTTTGTCGTGCGATTTGCATTTTGCGCGATATCACGCAAATGCTTGCATTGCAAAGAATGGAATCGCGGCAAAATCCGCTCCAAAAAGGGTCCTGCTGTAGCGACGCACGACCCGCGACAGCAGGACCCTTTGCCCCATTGCCTTGCATTGGAGAGCTATATCGCGCGGTAAATAGCCGCGATATCGCGGGAATTACCTCGCGATAAATCGCTCAATGTGAACGGGGCCTAAAGGAGAACTATGAGGTGAGTGAAAATCACTCATCCTCATAGTTCGAGCCGACGTGTGACAATGAAACTGTGACACGTTGGCTCAATAGATCGGGAAGTGAGCGAATTTCTCAATCATCTCCCTTCAGAGAGCAGTGATTGTCAGTCACGGCTCCCTGCAGGGATTCCCCCCTCCCCTCTCCGATCCTCCAGCGCTGACTGGAGGAATGGACGGGGGAGGGGGCGGGCACAGCAAGCTCTGCCTCTAGATAGGCAGAGCCAGCTGTCACTCACACAGCTGGATGGATCTCGACAGTAATGTCGAGATCCGTCCCGACTGCGGTTGTCTCAGTATACCACAAGCTGTAGCTCGCAATATACTGAGGTTTGGGTCACGGGAGGGCGCTAGTATATGTCCTCCCGTGACCCTTAAGAGAACTATGGGGAAAACACTTACCCCACAGTTCTCTTTTAACGCCACTGATATTATATTAATGTCATTGTAATCCTATCTTTTAAAAAAAAACTTTTTTCCCATGTGAGAATTCATTATTTATTACAGTCTGATCAAAATCTGGCTTTGTTTCCAATTATTTATAAGAATTTATAGCCGTTTGATGTATTTTTTTATTATTGATCTTTTATTCTGCTCTATGTTTGTTTTGAAGCCCTGATGAAGGGGGAATGTTATTTCCCACACAACACGTTGGCTGTTTGGCATAATCGTTTTTTGAACAATTAAAGGCAGGTTTGGACTCTTTCACCTTATCGTTTTGCACCCTTTATTTCTGAACAGTGAGGTTTTCATTGCTGTCTGAGTTCCTACTGAGAAGAAACTGTGACAGAAAATCCAAAAGTGTGTGTTGTCAACTAAATAGGAATAGAGAGGAAACCTTCCAATGGGTGCACT